CCCTGTTTTGCGACCTGTGTCTGCACCCCCATTGCTTTGTTCTCTCCCCATCCCACAAAAGCTGCTTCTTGCTGGCGCAGCGCCCCGCAGAGCGCTCAGATCGCCGTCCCGCTTTCTCCCCGCAGCGTCATCTACCACCTCGGGTACCATCGGGAGGAGCTGATCGGCCGCTCCTGGTACAGCCTCCTGCACCCTGACGACACCAGCCTGGCGGCCGCCCAGCACAGGGCCGTGGGTAAGCGTAAGGCCTGGGAACACGCGCGTTTCCGTGGCGCGGTCTGGCCGCACCGGAGAGCCGGCAGCGCGGGAGGGCAAGCGCAGGGTGCTGCCTCCTGCTACGTCCCCCGTGGGCGCAGAGCCACTTTGCAGCAGGTCAACCCCCAGCCTGTCCTGGTGCATGGGATTATTCCTGCCTAGGTGCAGGACCTTGCACTTGCCTTTGTTGAACTTCAGGAGGTTCCTCTCCGCCCACCTCTCCAGCCTGTCCAGGTCCCTCTGAATGGCAGCACAGCCTTCTGGTGTGTTAGCCTCTCCCCCCAGTTTAGTATCATCAGCAAACTTGCTGAGGGTGCACTCTGTCCCTTCCTCCAGGTCATTGAGGAATACATTGAACAAGACTGGACCCAGGACTGAGCCCTGGGGGACACCACTAGCCACAGGCCTCCAGCTAGACTGTGCCACTGACCACAACCCTCTGAGCTCGGCCATCCAGCCAGTTCTCCATCCACCTCACTGTCCTGGAAGGCTTGGTCAAGCATGATTTCCCTTTGGTGAATCCATGCTGACTCCTCCTGATCACCTTCTTGTCCTCCACATGCTTAGTGAGGACCTCCAGGATCACCTTTCCAGGGATGGAGGGGAGGCTGACAGGCCTGTAGATTCCTGGCTCCTCCTTCTTACCCTTTTTGAAGACTGGAGTGACATGGGCTTTCTTCCATTCGTCAGGCACCTCTCCTGTTCTCCAGGACCCTTCAAAAATGAAGAAGAGTGGCCTAGCGATAACATCCACTTCTCTAAGGGAAGCAGGTGGGACTTGGGGCACAGGAGCTATAACACTCAGCTACAGAGGCGAGTGGAAAAGGGTTCGATGTTAACAAGAGCGAAGTAGGTCCCCAGGGGCTGATGGGAGAACTGGCCGGGCTGGGGAGGGGAGGAGGAGGGTTGTCCACACATGTCCCGTACCAGAAATCCTGCCTTTCCTACACATCCAGGTTTCATTAGGAGACCCTCTGAATCAATAGGAATCCAGCAATGTGGATAACAGGGATTCTCGGGGCTGAAAAAAGAAGAAAACTGTGAAAGCCAGCATCCGATTTTTTTTTGGTCGCTCATTGAAATCTTCCTCTTGTAAGTGCCCTCCTGAGAGCTCTCCACTTAGCCTCACAAGAACTGAGACCTCAAGAAAATGCTGGGGAGTGGCATGGCTTGTTAGGGCTTCTGACCTTTTAATCCCCCCTCGAGTGTATGTGGTGCTGAGCCCATGAACCTCAGATACTGAGAGGGAACTGAGAAAAACACTGAAGAAGTTAAAGTCAGAATTAAATCCCAAGTTTCGGGGAGTGTTAATGGGTCCCCCTGAGGACCATTACCAACAAAGCCTCCCAGGGGCTGAGGAGAGCAGAAAGTTGGAGGCACTTGTTACAGGTTGGCAAAGGAAATGTGCAGGTGGCTGTGACACCAAGTCCACCTTGCTGTGTGTTATCAGACAGCATGGGCCAGCACTGACACCCAGCCCCTGCACAGGGTGGTGCTTTCGCTCCGACTTGGCTCAGGGCTCTTTGTGGGGGCAGGGAGAGGGTGGGGGTGTGCAAGACTTCGTGCAGGATGAGACAGCACCTCCTGGGCTCTCTGAGGGTGGGGACGTAATGAGGACCTGGGGCCGTCAGAAACACAGTGTCTCCTTGGCCTCAGTGGCAGACACCAGAGAAAGCCAAGAGCACAAAGACCTCCGTCCTGTCGGAGGCTTTCAGCCTTGGCAGTGCCCTCAGTCGTCTCCACCCCAGGCTGCCCTGTGCTGTCCCCCTCCTGTGTCTGTGTCCCTGCAGCCTGTAGACACCCAGCCTGCTTCCCCACTTTGCTCTCCCCCAGCCATCTGACCACCTTTACTGATGGCTCTCTGCCCTCTCTTGCTTTTCATCCAGACACAAAGCCAGGGGCTCCCCACCAACTCCCTCTGGGTGTCCTGTTGAACCACAGCACAAGTGACATCCCAGTTTCCAAAAGTTCAGCCTGAACTTCTCATAATGTATCTCATAATTGTTTTGTCTCTTTCTCCTTCTCTTGCTATTTCCTATTACCAAGAAACTCTCCATCACCTCTGAAACCACCCTTCAAGCACTCCCAGGCTCCTACTGGAATGCCCTTAGCCTCCCCTTCACCAGGCTAAAGAAGGCCACATCCCTCAGCCCCTCCATACAGGCTTTGTGCTTCAGGACCCTACCCCCATCTTGGGAGACCTCCCCTGGACCTTCTCCAGGTCCTCCCCATTCCTCCAGCACTGGGCAGCCCACACGGGGACACACTCTTCCAGATGTGGCCACACCAGTGCTGAGTCAAGGGGGATGGGGACTGCCCTTGCCTGGGTGGCCATGGTCTTCCTGAAGCAGCCCCATATGCAGCTGGCCTCATTAGTGCAAGCATGCACTGCTGGCTCCTATGGCATCCCTTGTCATGTCCAGGCCCTTCTCCTCAGGGTCACTCCTCTGACGGTCAGCTCTCAGCCTGCCCTGATGCACAGCGTTTTACAGAATCACAGAATCACAGAATCGTTTAGGTTGGAAGGGACCTCTGGAGATCATCTCGTCCAACCTCCCTGCTCAAGCAGGGTCACCTAGAGCACATTGCCCAGGATCACATCCAGATGGGTTTTGAATATCTCCAGGGAAGGATGGAGATATTCCACAACCTCTCTGGGCAACCTGCTCCAGTGCTCTGTCACCCTCACAGCAAAAAAGCTTTTCCTCAGGTTTAGGTGGAACTGCCTGCGGTTCAGTTTGTGCCCGCTGCCTCTTGTCCTGTCGCTGGGCACCACGGAGAAGAGGCTGGCCTCATCCTCTTGACACTCCCCCTTCAGATACTTGTACACGTTGATGAGATCGCCTCTCAGTGTTCTCTTCTTCTCCAGGCTGAACAGGCCCAGCTCTTGCAGTCTTTCTTCCTAGGAGAGGTGCTCCAGCCCTCTAATCCTCTTGGTAGCCCTCCGCTGGACTCTCTCCAGGAGTGCCATGTCTCTCTTGGACTGGGGAGCCCAGAACTAAAGATATCAACGCAGCCTGCGAGGCTTGAGTTCCTGAAAGCGTCCAAACCTCTGAGCATCTCCCAAGAGAGTCTGGGTGTCTTGGCCACCTGCTGGGTGGGGAATGAATTAGCAAATGGCTTGGTCCGCCGTTCCAGCCCCTCCTGGTTTCTTTCCAGCATCTGCTCCGCTCACAGGCTGCACTTGGGATTAACAAGGGGGTTTCAGTTTCAGTTCTTGATAAGAGACGTTTCTAGAATGGAAACTTACAGGAGCCTCTTTCTTTTCTCCTTGGTTTAAATCCATTTAAGGAAGATTTCAAACATCTTTTCAAAGATTATCGCTGCGGTTCTGGCACTGTGGCACGCTAGCTAATCGGCTGTGCAAATGGGGGAGGTGTCAAAGCTCTGGGGTGCTATACGCAGAGGAGAAATCAGCCTTCAGAGGGAGTGCGATTCTGACATCTACCAGCTGTATGTCTAACGTCAGTGTAGGAAAATAAGCTAATAGTAAAATAAAGAACAGAACTTTGTAGTTCAGTCAGATACTGGCACCACATAATGTGTGTGTCACTGCATGGCAAATCAAACCATTCAAAACTTTGTTCCCCCCCCACTTAAAAGATTAAACAATTTACGGATTTTTTTGGTGTGAGGAGAGCCTCTTTTTACCCTAAACAAGGGTAAATACAATGAATTTTGTCTCCCTAAATCAGAAGCATTTCTCGTTTGCTTGTTTTCCTAGTCATCTGGTTGGGGAGTTAAAGTTTACAAGTCTTTAAATTTTTCACAGAATCTCAGAATAGTTGAGGTTGGAAGGGACCTCTGGAGATCATCTAGTTACCACCCCCCTGCTCCAGCAGGGTCCTCTAGAGCACGTTGCCCAGGATCGTGCCCAGGCAGGTTTTGACTCTCTCCAGCGAAGGAGACTCCACTGCCTCTCTGGGCAACCTGCTCCAGGGCTCAGTCACCCTCGCAGTCAAGAAGTTTGTCCTCATGTTCAGATGGAACCTCCTGTGTTTCAGTTTGTGCCATTTGCCTCTTGTCCTGTCAGTGGGGACCATGGAGAAGAGTCTGGCCCCATCCTCTTGACACCCTCCCTTCAGATACTTGTACGCATTGATCAGATTCCTCCTCAGTCTTCTCTTCTCCAGGCTGAACAGGCCCACCTCTCGCAGCCTTTCCTCATAGGAGAGATGCTCTAGTCCCCTCCTCATCTTTGTAGCCCTCCGCTGGACTCTCTCCAGTAGTGCCATGTCTCTCTTACATTGAGGAGCCCAGAACTGGACACAGTACTCCAGATGTGGCCTCCCCAGGGCTGAGGAGAGGGGGAGGATCACCTCCCTCCACCTGCTGGCGCACCTCTGCCTCATGCAGCCCAGGATCCCATTGGCCTTCTTGGCCCCAAGGGCACATTGCTGGCTCATGCTTAACTTGTTGTCCACCAGCACTCCCAGGTCCTTCTCGGCAAAGCTGCTTTCCAGCAGATCAACCCCCAGCCTGTCCTGGTGCCTGGGGTTACTCCTCCCCAGGTGCAGGACCCTGCACTTTGTTGAATTTCAGGAGGTTAAATACTGTAGTTTGTAAAATACTTCTTCCAGGTTTTCATGGGGGTGGAAATAAGGGTCAGAGATGAAATTGTTTGTCGCTCTGAGACAGACTAGGGGGAATAAAAGACTGAAGGAAGGTGGGGGGAAATGGAAGACAGGCAGGAGGAGAAAAGGCAAGGAATGCGTCTATTGGAACAGTGCTAAACTTGAGCAAATTTTCTTTATAAATGGTGATATCTCCAACAATAAGCTATCGAGTTATGAATTAGGGCTCTTTCATCATGCCAGGTCTATTTCTTTCATACTGCACAAGCTACCTGTTGATGTGAACAAGGTCTGCTATTAAATGAGAGTGATGTATGCTCCTAATTGCCCCAGTCAGCACTTACAGCTAAATTTGGTCTGTTTTCCAAAACTGGCTTGATCATATCACCCAGCACATATGAGAACTGTGAGAGCACAGTAGCTGTGAGAATTTGTAAGGAACAAATGATATCAAAATCCTTATAAAAGTTTAGTAAGCTATTGGAAGCAGCGCACATATGTGAGCTGATGTTTTCAAAATACTTAAGAACCACGTTTTCCAAAGTAACTGTTTGAATTTGTGAGTTTGCCATACTTTGCAATGTCTCTCTGAACTCACAAATAGAGAATTTGCACAGGCAAATCAAGCCCTTCTAGAAGTGCGGAAAAGCTGATGGACATTGCCTAGCATCCAAGCTCATCACATTGATCGCAAATGAGCTGATCTACTGCAGATGAGAGTTAATCCCAATTAGCAACCTCATGGGTTTGGGAAGTGTCTTAACATAGAGCTCTGGCTTCCATGCTGAACGTGGAAGAGGGAGTCACGTACGCTGATGAAATCCAGAAACTGTTGAGATAGTAGTTGAGATGTGGTCATAAAGACTGAGGCAAATTATTTGTGTGACTTGAGGTTAGAAAAATAGCCCAAACCAAACCAACTAGCTAACGTAGCTATGTGAAAAACGAAGTATGGATGCTGTCATGCAGAGGTCTGTTGGGGGAGCAAACGGGTAACAACAACAACAACAACAAAATCCAAAGCCACAAGTCGCCTTTCAGTTGAAACAAATGCTTTGTTTCTTCTCAACGCTTAAATGAACCCACTAAAATCAACCTTGTAAAAACCTTTCAGTACTGAAAGCCCTTCTTAGGCTGCAGTGGGGAGAGGCAAGTGTAGATATCCTGTAATTTGACAGGTACTCAGTAGTACAGATGAATCAGAAGAGCCAGGTGATGAAAAGTTGTGGGAACAGTGAGAAAACCAGGATGGTGCTTGGCTGCATAGAAAGGAGCACCACATTTGATGTACTGAGTTGGTCGTTCTGGTCTGCAGTAGCATATGCAATGTTGGTTTCCTTGTCCTAGAAAGATGAAGGTAAAAATGAGAAGCTTTTGAGAAACGTGTCAAAGGCCCGTTAAGAGAGGTGCGAGGGGGGTGGAAATCGCTGTCAAAAATACTGTGGTGGCACTGCATGACATCTCGTAGGTGTGAGAAGGCCTTAGGAGCTGTCGAGGGGGGAGCGTCCTTCCTGGGTTTGCGAGGGGGTGGGGAGCGGTACATATCAGCTAGAGGGGGAGCTGGGCTTTCAGGAAAGGGGCTCCAGGGGTGAGTGGGGTCCCCCCCCATCTGTAAGCATTTCATTTTCCTCTCTTGATGGTGATCATTGCCAAAGTCGGAGAGTCACCCTTTCCTTCCAGCAGCCGGACGTGAGAGGTTACAACGTCTTGGCGTTTACCCTCTGCCTGGATGCTATGTAATTTTGTTTTTATTCTTACACAAAAGTAGCTACGTGGGAATCCAGCACTGATGTCCTCTCGGGGGGAAAGACAGGGCGGATGAAATGCTGAGGTTGCAATCCGTTTAGGCCATCTCTTTTTGCATTCTGGACTTGGGTGCGTTTAAGAGGTTGAGTAGTTCGTAACTGGTTGAGTGTAGTAAAGGATCCGTGTGCTGCAAGAATCAGAGGGCAGAAAGGAAACGTGGGCAGGCTGTGCCGTGAGCAGGAGATGCCCATGTTATCAGCAGGGAACGGTGATTTTACAAGAAGTGGGGAGAAGAGGAAAGGGAAGAAATGACAGAAGGGAGGATAAAACGGACAATAGCGACAGCACAGGACGGGTAAGTTTTCTAAGGGGGCAAAAAGGAGTGAGAAAAATTAGAGAATTAAAGGGTCAAGCAAGAATGCAAGAAACAAAGGAAGTAGGCTACTCCTGTTTTTTTAAAGCTATTTTGATGGAGAACCCTTCAGCGCAGGCTTGGTGAGGAGTAAGAGCTCAAGAGGTCACCTTGTACAGTGGCCACGGGCAGGCCCAGCCGCTTGGGAGCAGGAAGCCAGGAACCTTTTCACTTGCAGTTTCTAAACTCGTGCCTACACGTCTTCCTGGTCTTTAGGAAACATTAGAGCAACTTCACCGTCATTCTTCATCTGTTTTAATGCCTTCTTTGACCTTTTACCGATCTTGGTTGTGAGACTTGCATTTGTCCAGAGATGCTCAGATATTTTCCCCTATAGTGATTAATTGCTGTATATCCCAGTAACTCGTGTGACTGGCACAAATTGTGCTATCTGCACTGAATTTGAGTCATGTGCTGGCAAACGTTCAGTCTTGGCTAATTCCTTTTAGAGTTTTGTTCTCAGGTCTCTGTGAACCCAAATTATGGGATTGCTTAAAATTGTTGAGCTATTTAGCAGTCAGGTAGTTCTTATCTGAATAGCAAGCTCAGTCTTTTGGCCTGCAAGTGATGTCATGTTCTGAGCATGCAGGCCATAAGGGATCGCACAAGACTGTCAAGGGGAAAGATGGGAAACCTGAGGGAGCGTAGAAAGAAAAGCAGTGCTCTCTCATCCCTAGAAACGTGGGGCTAGGACACGTGCAGGAGCCCAGGCGAGAGAGGATATCAAAGTGCAGTAAGATAAGCGGGAAAGGTGTTTCTGGGAAAAGTGAAATAGAGCTGTATTACTATTTTGTGTGTGCTGTGTGCTGAAAAAATAGATATATGGTTTTCCTTTACCCCTTCTCAGAGGACTAATGAGTGTCAACAGAGCAGAGTTCCTGGGTGTTTGGGACAGGCAAAGGGAAACATGCCGTAAGGTAGTACTTGGATATGTTCATTACGTTTCCTGCTGGAGGATATGAGCTGATGGCAGGGGCAAGAAGGAACTGGAGAGAATTTGCATTTACTCCCTTCTGAAGCAGAAAGTCATGGTTATTGCCAAGGGCAGGGTAACTGGGAGGATGGGTCTGGTGCTCTGAGCCGATGTGACTGATCTCCTGTTGCTTCCTGAGCTTGGCAGCAATACTTGAGCTTTGCATGCAGAAACCTTGTGTCATGGGGCAGGACGTGATTGTTCTTGCTAGGCCACAGCGGGGATGTTTCATGTCAGACGCTTAGTATCACAAAGGATTAGGAAGACTGTGCGCCTAGCGCCGTTGAGAAGTGCTTGTTGGGCAGGCAGTTGTCACCCAGGTGTTGTATAGGTGTAAAGCTAGAAAGAATTGTCTTGGTTGCAGCTACAAGTGGGAGAATAATCATGTGCTGTTGAGATAATAATCAGCGCTCTGAATGATAATATCTTATATGTTGCAGCTGTAAGATGTATGTCACTGAGGGAGATCAAAGAAACACTGCAACCGAAAATTCCCTAAGAATAGCTTGTGCATTTATCAGCGTTTTGCATAGAATCGTTTTTGCAGTTTCTCCTGTTGTTCACATTGATCTTGTATTTAACAGTCAGAGGAGAAAAGTATTATTTTATTTACATCTTGTATTTTATAACACTGTGGGAGCTCCCAGCAGAGCTAGAGTATGAGACTGCTTTTTGGTCTTGTGGGGCTTTGATCTTCCCACATTGGGTTAGAAGCTATTCCTATTGATAATAAGGAAGCGGAGGTCAAAGATCTGGATTTCACTGCAGCTTACTGGCTTCTGAAAGTGCTGAAGAGGCTCTGCTGAGGGAACCGTTTTAGTGTAGATAGACGGAAAAGGCCACGAGATTTTTCTGCACCTTCTGCCTGGCCTCATGGTACGAGGGATGTGATGATGTCCTTTTAAAGGAGATGAGACGAGAACGCTGTTATAGTGAGAGAGTCAGGACTGAGAGGAGACGCATCAGAATTAGCAGTGTAACTAAAATACATCACAATGCATAACTCGTTCTACTCTTGTACCAGGTAAAAACTGTGAGAGAGAGAGAGAGAGAGAGAGAGAAGCCCGAATATGTTGGGCAGCAAGAGGAGACTCTCCTGCTGCAAGAGACCGTAGTGATTAATGAGAGAGGAAACTAAAGGCCGAGGGATGCAGCGGTTTCTTTGCATTTGTGTAGGGATGGTACCGCTGTGCTCATGCCGGCATCTCTGTCTGAGATGTCTATGTGGAATTAGCAGGGAGGGAGTGCCTTGAGAAGCTGTTTGCTTCAGGTGTGTTCTTCTCTTCTCTTCTAGATCTATCTCACATGTCTTTTGAGGAACTACTGCAGGTGCACGATGGTATGGGAACAAGAGTGTATAAGCAGGTGGCCGGTGGGAAGAAGACTGCAAATCCTATCAAACCCAAGATAAAGCATCAACAAAGCAAAAAGGGGTAAACGTGTTCTTCTGTGATCAGGAAAAACATGCGTGTGTGCTCTCTGCGTTCCAGAAGTTGTGTTGCGAGCTCCTCGCAGTATTGCCTTTGCCTTGGAGCTGGTTTAGAGCTCCTTTAATGTGCCATGCAGTAATGCCTTTCAGCACAGCGTTTCATTTGGAAATGGTCTGTTGCCCAATATCCTACGACGTTCAGATCCCCAATTGTCACCTGCTACTTTGCCGTTAAAACCAGCGCTTGATTCTTTTACACTCTCTGCTTTTAACCCATGGCATAGTACACTTTTCTAAACTGTACGATAGATTGTGCTTTACTTGAACCCTCTGGGTCCTGAACTAGTTATCTTGCTGTCTTCTGATCCTCTTGCGGCTTATCAGCATCTTCTGCCCAGCTGGAGCTGCAGAGTCAGGCAATTATTCTGGAATGTCATTCATCCTTTTGCTGTTGCTCTGTGTTGAGTTTCTGTCTCGCATCTGTTGCTCTGTCTGTGTGGAGTTTCCTTTTTCCCCCCTCCCCAGTGCTGGTCATCACAGATTCTTTTCTGCCCTCCAAGGTTTTTACACCTCCTAACAGAATATTCAGTAGATGCTCTTTGTGTGGTGACTCTCAAAGGTATTGAACAGAATAAAACCTATCAGAGCTTTTTACAGCCCTCCACAGGCCCTGACCCGCAGCAGTTGTCATATGCCCTTCATTTGCAGTCGTTAGCTGTTTTCTCAGTCCTTGGAGTCATATTCAAATGATTTGAACAGGCTTCCTCTGTTTCACTGCCACTGCCTCACCTATTTCTCAGTCTCTGCTGAATACATGTTCTTCCTGCTTTAAACAGTTGATCAGAATAATGTTTCTGCTTTACTTTCTACCCGAGTCTGGGGGACTTTGCGTAGTGCAGCTTTGTCACACAGTGTCGCTGTTTCTGCCACAACAGGTTTGCGTAATTGTTTGTATTTGATTCCCCTAATCCTTCAAGCGATGCATCACTGGAAGTCCCAGATGCTCCTTTTCTCATGTTTTTATTATGGAAGTAAACTTCTTAAAGACTTCAGGGAAATCCCAGGAAACTCGGCTATTTTCAGTGATGCTTTATAAAACTGATTCAAGAGCACTGCAGAGAGGTGTAGCCACGTCAGCTGATGCTAAAACACATGGATTAGTGGGGTTTGGAAAGTTTGTTTGTACCTGTGAGGGTGTTTGTGCTTCTTGCCTTAGCGTTATTGCATTGCTGAATGTGGGTATAATGTCAGTTCTCCCAGTGGGTGGTTCACAAGTTTTTTCATGCTTCCAAGAACTTATTTGATGTACTGGCAAATCACAGCACATGGCATCCAAGTAACATGGGGAGAGTAATACCCTTTTCTCCCACTCTATGCAGTCTTCCTCATACACCTAAAATATCAAACTCTAAAGGCCCGTGTTGCAAGGGAAACTTGATCACTGCAGATGGTTTCCACCGTGCCCCCGATTCACTGTAAAGTCTCTCTTGAGCTGTATGGCTCTTATTCCTAGGGGCCAGCCTTTCCTCTGCTTGTGTTGAGGTATGTTTTCTCACTGATCCCAGACACGGTAGAGTTGACCTGTTTCTAACTACCAGGTCAGTGCAGATGTCCCCAACCTCAGTACTTGCACTGGAGGGTGAAACCAGAGTTAAGAATGGATGGGTGGCAGGCCAGGCATGAGAGGGGTGTTACGTGACGAGTGAAAATATGAAGGAGAGAGTGGAACAATGCATTCACTGACGTCCCCAGTATAGTGACAGGTTTCCACTCAGTACAGTGAGGTTTGGGTGCTTTGGCACAAGACACAGCACATCTCGGATGACGTGTTTTGTGTAGCATCATTTTAACCACACGTGCATAGATCGGTTTCTAGTAGCCGTGTCTGGCTCTCGACTGAGTCACCTCTCTGCTCTCTGTAGGTATCACAGTGAGGACTGAGTGCAGGAGCCGTCTGCTGTTTTGGCACTGTGCGTTAGTGTCTTCCTGAGGCTCTGCCTAATCTGCTGACACAATAGCCTGGGCCTCTTGCTGCCCTCTTCTCCTTTCAAGTACATTTTTCTCTTTCAGGCCACTGGAGATGTCTGCCAAGAAACCTGTGCCTTTTCTGCGACAAGTGGTCCCTGTTACAAAGAAGGTGGGTGATCCCCCTCCCCAGGTTGGGAGCTGCCTTCCCTTGGCAACACTGAGGGGCACAGCATACGTTTGGCACAGAAATAGTAACGGGGCTGCTGAGGATGACGGAGTCCTGGCTGCTTCCAGAGGGCAGGGCTTGGACCCGCATCCAACTGAGGGAATGCGGGTAGCGGCATATCTCTGGGGAGAACAAGAGATTGGGTGCAGAGGGGCTGCTCCTTGTCTAGCCTGCTGTCCTGCTTAATGCGAAAGTTGGGGAATAACTTGAACATTTGAGAGCCAAATGTTGCTAGAAGAATGCTTATCACCAATGGCAAGTGCACTGCAACCGATGGTCATTGTTCAGTACTAACTACGTTGAGGTTCAAATGTCCATCTAGGTTCTAATCTGAATTTAACTTTGACTTGCTATTTCTGGATCCTCTAATATGTTTATTTCATCGGTTGGAGATCTCTTCATCTTCTTGTATGATCTGATGCAGATTATACTTTATCTGTGGAAATCTAACAAGATTTGAGTTTCCAAATCCATCAGCCTGGCAACACATGTTCAGACACCTTCAGGTCTGAGCTGCTGGTGTTTGCAGTGTTTGCAGCAGCCCTCATGCCACCATTCCTTGAATAGGCCATTTCTGGAAAGTAGGCTCACATACTGAAATGCCTCTTGCTTGGTATATTGGACATATACAGTCATGATGGTCTTATGTGAGGGTGGTTATCGGACTCGGTCTTTGCTGACTGCAGGTGTTTTTAATGGTGGGTGTGTAAGATTGCTGTTAAAAATAAACAAAAAAAACCCTCCAAAACCTGTGAGCCATGGGAGGGGAGTGAACAGGCTGCTACCAGGATAATCCTGGCTGTGGCTCTTACTTCCTCCTTTCCCTGCAGGTCCAGCGAGACCCTCGATTTGATGACCTGTCTGGAGAGTATAACCCTGAAATATTTCTGAAGACCTATAGCTTCCTGGACACCATCAAGCAGCGGGAGAAGGAGGTGATGCTGTGTGCCTGTCCTTGGCCAGAAGGACCTTGCTTGGCAGTGGCAGCTTCCTCAAAGGCCTTTTGTAGTGGAGGTGGCAGGCATGTGCTTATGCAGCTTTCTGCTCTCTCTTCCAGATGATTCAGAAACAGCTGAAAAAATGCCGGAATATGGAGCAGAAGGAGAAGCTGCAGCAGCTCCTGAAGCGCATGGTGAGATAGTCCCTGAGGCAGGAAGTGTTGGCTCAGTGCAGTGTCTCCTCCTGTGAGGTGATGCGCAAAAGGAGGTGTGACCCAAGGTTTGCATAAACGCTTGCTGACATAATCTGTCCTTTCCGTACAGACGCAGCAAGAAGAGGAGCAGAAAAAACAGCAGAAATGGAGGGAGAGGGAGCTGTCTTTGAAGAAACAGCAACGGGAACTGGCCCAGCAGGGGAAGAAACCCTTCTTCCTAAAGAAATGTAAGTACTCAGTGTGAGTGCACTGAAGGAAGATGCAGAAGAGGTGACGGCTGACAGCCACAGAGATGTAAAGCCCGCAGGTAGGACTCCGAGCCCTGAAAGCAGGAGTAAGCAGGAGTAACCGCCCCTGGAGCTGTGGAGGGATTGTTTGAGTGCTGGCACTCCAGGGACCAGCCAGGCATGGAGCCAGGGAAGGAGAGGCAAGGAGAGGCTGGTCTGTAGGGATGTATTGGCTTGGGTTTAAAACCTTGCTCCTCTCTTCTTCAGCTGAGAAGCGGAAATTGGAGCTAGCAGAGAAGTACGCAGAGCTGAAGAGGAGTGGAAAGCTGGAGAGCTTCCTGAACAAGAAGAGGAAGAGGAATGCCATCAAAGACAAGCGCCGGCTGCCCTCACAGAAGAGCCTGTGACTGCTGGATGGACGCGCTGTTGTCTGAAGAGGGAGAGGGAAGGCTGCCACTGGGATTTGCTGTCCTGACTGGACCTTGAGGACTGCCATCCTTCTTCCCCATATCTGCCTTTCACTTTACCGTGATGCTATTCGCCAGCAGAGCAGAGGCTGAGCTGAAGAAAATGTGCTTTTGGAAACTGAAATGCCCTCTTGGGGCTGGGCTTAAACCATGCTGAGGTGGTGAGCAAGTCCATCGTGCTGATTCATGTGGAGTTGACATCTGGCTCTGTTCTTGGACCTGCTTGTCTCCTACCCTAACTAGGAGAGCACAAGCCCTGAGCTGCCTTGCTGACGCTTCAGCCACAAGCTGAAGCGGGAGGAGGCTGTGGGAGGGCTCTGGTCCAACGCCTGCTCAGAGCAGGGCCAGCACTGAATTTGGATCAGGTTGCTCAAGGCTTGCTCCAGTTGGGTCTGGAAACCTTCAAGGACAGAGGCTGCCACCTTTCTGGGCCCCTGCTCCACTGCTTCCTACCCTCAGGGTGAAACTCTTCCCCTCCCCTTACCTCCAGTGGGAATTTGCCTGGTTTTAACTTATGATCATTGTCTCTTGTTCTCAGTAAAGCGCCTGGCTCTGTCTACCCAATAACCTCCTCATAGGTGCAGGAAGGCCTCCCCCAAGCCACCTCCTCTGGGCTGATCAAGCCCTGTTCCTTCAGCCTCTCCTCACGGGTCGAGTGTTCCAGCCCCTGACGGTTTTCCTGTCCTCAACTGGAGTGAGTGCAGCAGATCAACGTCACCTGAGGGCCCTGGCTGGGTACGGTATCCAGAGGTAGTCTCGCATGTGCCGTGTAAAGAGGGATAGTGGCCTCCCTTGACCAGTGGGCTGCACTCTTGGCATGCAGCCCATGCAATGGCTGGCCTTCCTTGCTGCGAGGGTGTGCTGTTGATTGTGTTTAGCTACTGTTGCCCGGGATCTTTCCAGCAGAGTTGCCCCCCTTCTCAGCCTGGTCTCTGAAGGACTGTTAGTGCTTCTAGGTAACGCAGGTTCTGTGTAAAATAAAACTCTATTTTTCCTTTATTCCTGGTGTGGCTGCTGTTACAGTCTTAACGGAAATTGATAAATCTCCCCAGCCTTGCATGTGACACCCAGCTCTCTTCTCCCCTCACTCCTGACTGCCCTGTGGTTGTGCTGGCATGGAGGTGAAATGGATGTGACTCGTGTGTCGGATCCTGGTATGAACGGGTGCCTGGGGAAGACCCCTCAGCTCGGGGGGCAGAGTGCTCCCCTGCCTTGTGTGCAAGTGGGCAGCTGGTGTGTGGGGCCTGGGGGAAAGGCCCTGCAATGAGCAAGAAATGGGAAGATGAGCAACTCCCATTGTGCTTGACTAAATGCGTTACTGAACCATCTGCCTCTCGTGCGGTTCCTGTGGGTGATGTGAGTTCTGCGCTGGTAACGGGGCTTAGTGTAACTGGGGGAAGGCAGGAGAAATGGGACATGCCAGCTTGGTTAGAGATCACATGGAAATCCTCAGCTGCCTTTAACCTACCGGTGATTTGTTGAATTGCACTGCACCTGGCTGCTTCCTCCTTTCCTTGCCTTGTGACATTGGATGCAGAAGCTGCAGCATCCTTGCACCTTTGGAAGAGAGTTTTCCTGGGAGTGGTGTGACAGCACCAAACCCCAAGGGGACTGTGGTCCTTTCTGTCAGTGCTCTGCTGTTTTGCGCTCTGAATTTTTAATCTGCGCAAATCTCCCATGGCAAAGTTGCAAGGCCCGGACAGGCTGGAGGTGGCTCGGCTGGGGTGGGGGAGGTCTCTGTTCCCAGGGCCTTGCTGAGGGGCTGTGCCAAGAACAGCATTCCCAAGTCTGTGTATCCCCCTTCCCAGCTGCTGGTAAGTACTGCCCTGTGGTGAGCAAGCCTGGTGCGTACCCAAAGAGGTTCTCCCTTACCCTGCCGCCCCGCTGGAGCGAAATGGCTCTTTCTGCCTGAGGCCTGACTGGCAGAGAAAGGTGTTAGACCACAGACTTCACCTGATTCTGTCCAGCACAGCAGGTCCTCTCTGCCAGGGCTGATCTGGAGGCCCTGCAGGTGGGCTCTTGGGACTTGATAGGGATGTCCCTGGGGTGGGGTGGGCAGCTATGGGGCATGGCTTGCACTAGCTGATTTAACTGCAGCTGGTTGCACAGGCAATGGTAGGTGGGTGACAACTGAGTCCCCCCAACATTGTGACGCTCTCAGAGCCCACCAAGCTCCAAGGATCTGGCTCCTCTCTCGCCCCCGGCCAGGAGGGCTGGCTCCCAACCCACCAGGCACCAGCGCTGGGTACTCTCCCCAGGTCTGGATGGCTGCTGGACGGGACCTCCCCCAGTGCCCTCAACTGGTCTTGCAGCCACAGCTGGATGTTCAGGCACACTAGAGAGAGGAATCCACTGGAGGTGGGGGGAACCCACCTGCAGTTGGGAACACAGAGAGGCGAGGAGGCTGCAGGGCTCAGGACTTTTATTGCAAAGAAGGAAATACAAAAAAGGATGCTGACCCTCCCTGAGGCCCCCCTCCCCCCGGCCTGGGGCTGTCTGGAAGAGATGGCCAGGGTGTGGGGGTCAGGCCTTGCTCCTGCTGCTCTGGGGACCCCAGCTCTTGCAGCAGGGGCAGGCTGCAGTGAAGCAGCGAGCCAACCCGGAGCTGGGGCAAACAACGCAGGCAGAGCAGGCGATCCCCAGCGTCCCTACGCGCCTTCACCTGGCCTGTGCCCCAGCTCACTGAAGGGCAGTGCTGTGCTGGGAGCAAGGACCAGGGTGTGTGTGAGGGGCATGTCCGTCCCCCGTAGCAGATGGCTGCACGGTCCCAGCAGGCCCTGGGGAGATACGGCACACTGCAGACAAACCCGGCCACCTCATGCCATCTGATACCCACCTCGCCAGGTGGGGTGCTGAGGTCCCAAACTGCTCTGCAGCCTCATGGAGGCTGCCTCCCCACCCCCATGCTCCCCTTGGGGACAGGAGCAGGGATATTTCCCCCTCATCGTGGGGAACTGCAGGATTTGCAATGATGGCCAAGCATAGCAATGGCCAGGCTGTGGCTCCTGCTGGCTGTCACGTGTTGTCCCGGGTTAGCTCATCGGGGCAGGCCGGCTGGTCCTGAGACTTGCACAGCCCAGGGGACGGTGGCTGGGTCTGGGAGCCATGCTGTGGGGCTGGGCCTGGGCCCGGGCCCGGGCCCAGGGATGCATGGTGCCGGTGTCGCTGGTACTGCACAAACATGCAGATCTTCAGTCCAATAGCCAGCATGTTCTTGCCCATGAAGATGCTGGAGACCCGGGCATCCCTGAAGAAGACCATGTTGCTGCCTCGGATAAAGATGGTGGTGATGTTGACAGTGAGCATGCTTAGCATGGGGTACAACATCATCCGATGTGGCATGATGCCAATCCCTTGCATGCTGATCTCGCAGAGGGATACACAGGGGAGGACCAGGAGCAAGATATAGCAGTAGAAGAACATGATGCCCTCAGCCCAGAGTGGCAACCCCTTCTTCTGGGGCTCCCACAGGTTGGCCTGGATATCCAGCACATCCAGCACGTCCACGATGACCCAGAAGAGGCGATTGCGGAGATCCTCTTTCTTCTTGAACGTCCTGACGTACTCCATGTGCTCCGTGGCCACCAACAGCACGTAGAGGGCTGGGATGCAGATGGAGAGCAGCAAGGTCAGGGCTTTGCGGGCCATGAGGTCCAGGCTTTTCCGGTCAGCTTTATAGTTCTGGTACACAAAGTAGACTTTGATCTCCAGAACGAAGACATACAGGAACCAGAGGATCATGGCATAGCCCCGCTTGGCTGTCTTTACCTCCGCCCCAACCCAGATGGCCACATAGCGGAGCACCAGCAGAAAACACACGTCGCCCACTGCCACCATGACGCAGATGCCCAGCTTCCTGGAGCCCTGGCTCTGCTCCACCAGGTAGGCGTCCATGAGGATGAGGCTGCTCATGATGAGCACGGTGGAGAGGCACACATGGGGCTTGCTGACAGGTGGTGGGGGGACCATCCTGCACAGAGGAACAGGTGGGACCATCAGGGAGTTGTCGGGCTTCCCCGTCTCCCACCCCAGGGCCCCCTTCTGCCCACCTCTCCCCAGCAACTTGGTGGGGGAAAGAAGAGGGTTTGTGGGGACCCCTCTCCCACTCTAGACCTCTAGTTTGTCCCAAATCCACAGGCTTACAGCCGAAGCACTCGCATGGCTCCCAGCCAGGCCATGTCCTGACAGGAGGGGATTGGCTTTTCACTCGCACAGAGAGCTCTGCCACATAAGGAGCGAGGCCAGGGCAAGGGCTTGTGAGCCCCAGCTCAGCCCCTGGGGGCACCACGAACAGGCCCCTTACCCCGGCACTGCATGGAGATCCAGCTCCTGGGCTGCACTTGGGAGAGCTGTGGGAGCGTGGCGGGCAGCCTTCAAGCACTCGGCGTGCCGCCACCTCTTCCAGTAGCTCTTTGCACTGATTAATCCCTCCCACTTGCTTTTTTCCCCCCTGCTGATTTTACCCAGCTGGTGGCACTGGCTAATATTCTCCCCTGCAAGGAAGAGGAGCCCACGTCTGCGCCTCCAACCTGAGCAGGTCCTTGACGGCAATGATCCAGGACCTCTGTCTTTTTAGCCTTCCTTATTTTCACGTATAGCATTGGGAGAAGCTGCATTATTTTTAGCCTGGCTGTGCTGTGAAGGATGGGACAGAAAAAAATTGGCCCACTGTCTTTGGTTTCCTTCAGCCTCACGCTACCGTAGGGCTTTGCCTGGGGCTGTTTGCCTGTGCCCACCCTTCTCCGGTGGGCTAAAGCAAAAGGAAAGCGAAGCAGCCCCA